AGTAACATACATGTAATACATAAGATGTTTTATGCCTGATTTGCCTACAGCCAGATTCAGTACAGTTGAAGACCTATGTACTGTATCAATATGCCATATATATAAGTCAACATACATATCTGGTATGCATAGAAATAGGTGTCATGCAGCTAAGAAAATGTTTGTACATGCATATACCTTATTACAAGTAATATATTAGAGACCTGCACATTTAGAGATTTCATTTTGTAAAGGAAAATATTTAATATTTGCAAAACATTAATTCAAACACAGCGGAATTTTAATAAGCCTAATCTATTTTTGATTTTATCCTAAAAGTAGACAATTATTATAAGCATAATCATTTTTCAGCACTTTTATAAGGATAATCTTTTATTCTATTGGAAAATATTTTGGATTGAATTATTAGCATCACTATTTTTAGTTTTATTTAAACCATCGCTAAATGCCAAAATCAGGAGGAAGCTAATATTAAATTCCTCTAATATTATACATACTCAAAAACATGATTTCAAAAGCATATCATACATATGTATATTACTCACTTAAACATAAACAATGTCATACAAATTTTATTTAATGATGTAATATATTCTTGTAGATATTGGATAATTAGAGATGGCACAATTTCAGGAAGACTTATTTTCCTTGGTTTACTATTTGGATGCTTCTAAAATGAGATCCACTGCAGCCAATAGATTGTCCGCAAATGCATCAGGTTTTACAGTGGGATGTTCCTCATCCTGAGGCCTGAAATCAACAGACACGGAATTCTCAATAAATCAACAGATCTAGGGCTTTCATTCATTATATAAATACATGTAACCAATTGAATGTTCTCCATCTTTTTTTTTCTATAAAATAAAAAAAAAAAAACTGTACCAAGGCCTATTCAATAAAGAATGTTCCCGAGCGCTCACCAAAATTCCTTATACCTCCAACAGAAATGTTTATTAGTGTTCACTTTGTTGAACAAGCTTCAGGTATAACTCAATCTGATTAAAATCAGATCCTTTGATCCACTCACACTAGATCGCTACACAAAGATCTGAAGAAACCCCACTCAGGGTCATCTCCTGGTGACCTTTCAATTATCCAGTCAAATGTTCACTTGCAAGAATTCGGAAGTATCTCAGAATTTAGTTACAAAAGTGAAAAGCCCAATGATACACGAATGGAAAAATCATGACCTAGTTTCTGTAGCCTCCAAGAGAACAATCACAGTCTTTTCTGTACAGTAACATAATAAACTTGTACTTGCTTTTCCTTGTTTTTCAGCTCTTTGTTTTGTACGAAACGATAAGATCTTCTCCACAGCTACTTTCACTTCTATATTTGTTTTTCTGAATGTCATTTATCAGAAAGGTCACCAGGAGATGACCCTGAATGAGGTTTCTTCAGGTCCTTATGAGGCGATCTATGTGAGCGGATCAAAGGATCCGATTTTAATCAGATTTGAGGTATGATTCTAAACAGCGAAGTAATACTATCAAAACATACCTATACCTCGCCAATATGCTAACCTGAATTTGCCGGTGCGGACTTGGATTCCCAGCATGCCACAGGACTGAGCTCCGCCCACGTCACTGACAATATCGTCACCCACCATCACAACCTATACACGGAAACAAAATTACGTAAATATGTTTGACAAATACAAATTAATATCCAAATATGTATGCTGTACCAGGTCCATTTCTTTTTTTTTTTTATCATTGTCCTTGTATGCTGTTCAAACCTCAAAAAAAGCATGATAAATGTTTCAGAATTTGTTTAGAAATATGATAAGATTATCTAACAGACTCAATTTTATTTTCAACATAATAGAATAAATAGATATAGAACATAAAGGAATTAACTTTTCACATTTTTCAATAAATAATTCAGCTGATCAAGTATATGAACGTGGGTACAAGTCCAAGAAGAGATGTTTGTGAAATATTTATGCCTCTCTCCTTCCCCTGGACATACAGACAACAAAAATGAACAGAAACTGCAAATAACTGGAATTTTACAAAGTCCAAGGAGCATAATTTTGCCAATAATTGCTTGATTGTACCCAAAACAGAACTTGACATAGATGATAAATCTGCATACAAAATTCATTTGATTATGTGCAACCTGTGCAAATAAAATGAAAAGAAACTGCAAAGTATTGGAATTTTTCTAAGTCCAAGGGGCATAACTCTGTCAAAAAATAGCTCGATCATACCCAAAACAAAACTTGACCTAGATATTCTTATGATAAGATCTACATACAAATTTCATTTCAGTGTGTGCAACCTCTTCAAAGAAAATATTTGAAAATTGCAAATAATTAAAATTTTTCTAGGTCCAAGGGGCATTATGACTCTGTCAAAAAAAGATCAATCACACACAAAGCACAACTTGACATAGAGATATTCATATGAATAATCTGTATACCAAATTTCATTTCATGGAAAGTTGGTGGACCAACAGACAGACAGACCTACCAATAGACAGCAGCAAAGAAATATGCCCTCCCTTCTTTGAAGGAGGGCATAAAAATGGTTCTTACATTGTCAGCACTAACATCCATGTCCTCTAAAACGGAAGTGAAAAAAGTCTGTGAGGGCTTTCCTACAACCTCTGCCTTCACATCAGCTGCAAACTGAAAATGAAACCCCATATTATTAATCCAGTACATTTTTGTTGCATCAGCATATATGACAGTTAAAAAGTGAAGTAAGTGACTAAAATTTCTAAGTTTGTTGGATATGGACTAATTAACACTGTCAGAGTTAAAATTCAGAACTCTCTTGTAAAGTGAATTTTGGATGTACTCATGAGATAGCATGTAAAGTGCTCAAATATGACTTTTCATAAATTTTCATGACCTTAAGTATCAAAATCTACATAACACAAACATTTTTCTCTAATAGATTTATGACCTTGAGCTTTATCTTAACCTTATAAAAGTCCTTTCATTCTGAAGTGCAACAGTAGCATCTAATGTTAAATTGTGGATTTACATTAAAAGAAAAAAATCTAACTTTTTTGAAAAAGTTGACTTGAAATTTTTTTCCAGTGATAATTATTTTAAACTCAATAGACCTGAGAGAAAACTTTGAGATATCCATGCAAGGCTTCTAGAAATCCAGGGTAAAATTCTTAAAAGTAAGTGGATAAGACTTTCAAGATTACTTTGACATATCCCTCACAATCAAGAGGTCAGTGTTCAAAATACATGTACCAAAATTCAACTGTATGTTATTTATAATTAATGCACAGGAAATTAACTGAAAATCATTACGCTTGTGGTTTTATCACTGGAAAATGGTCTTAAATTTTGAATGATGAATGTATAATTTATGTGTGTGTGTATGTCATTACCTCTAGAGCCTTAGTAAAAGGTCCTACATCCAGAAGTAGTTCCCCTTGTTCTCGATAAAACCTCCTACATGTGAGAAAAGCAATTGAAATTAAACAGAACATTTCAATCTGCAGCTAAAGAATGCTTGAACATTAAATAATTTGGGCCTCAGGGGTCTTTAATAATTATGCATTCCACTTTTTACCAATTAAGGGAATGTAAAACTTGGAGGATGTCTTTATTTAGGAACCAAGAGAAAAAAACCAAAGTTAAGGGTTATCATTCTATACATATGAAATAAAACTAGTGTTGCATTTCATAGTCTGAAAGTATTATCTTGGTATGAACCTAAAAAATTCTTGAACATATATTTATTTTGACCTTAGATATAGTCTGAAAGTAGAATGCCAACCACAACTTTGGTTCTTATAAGTTGAAATTAAAATAAAGTGCCGCGCCACAGCATGATACGCCCGTCAAAAAATTACACAATTTTCTTGACCAGTTTAGGTGCAAGAAAATCACATCAACCTTGATTCTAAGATTTTGATGATTTTTCCATTCCTTAAAATATTTATCCATCCCCTGTGATGTAGGCTTCAATTATAATAAATATTACATCACCGATAGATTTCGGTGCTGGTTGTGTTAGACCTTGTCAAATGCCCATCATCAAATTAGTCTTAACAACCTAATCTATACCAAATTAATTTTGAAAAGAAAAGGCTGGCCATCAAATGACCAACAGTTCCTCTGTCTAATCCCCAGAGGATACAGCTTAATCAGAGCGACTGAGACAGCTAGCCTTCCAACATTGAACTCATTAATTAATCTTTAACTGAATGCTTGTCTACTCTTTACTACCAAGAGATGAATGGGTCTGCACTATCTACTATAATTTTTTTTTAAAAACATATAAAATACTCAAAGATTTTTTTTTTTTGGTTGAGATTTAATGTCCGACAGGTTTTAATATGTAATTCATATGGACATGCTGATTCCATCCCACCCCATAAAATTAGTTTTTAAATTAATAATATTACATAATATCAGATTAGTCTATTATGCAAATCAAATTAGTTTTAATTACTTTTCATCAAATTCATTTTAAAACTTAAGATAGTCAACAAAAGCTATTTTTAATCAAACAGGCTTACCCATTTGCCCAATACTCAAGGGATATAGATAACAGCAATGCTCTGTCAGTTGGCTCCTCGCACTCAAAACCCATTAATTTCTTTCTAATTTGACATGCAATTTTCTGTTATCAAAATTCTTCTTGACCAGTGCTTGATAATTACACTCATTGGAGAGGCAGGATTTCTCTGACATACATTATATTTGTTATAGATTGCTGTCAAGTATATGCTTAGAAAAAATAAGTATTTTCTTGATTTAACACTTTTTTAATAAGAACAGTGCAAGACTCTTACATTATTTGGGATGTGTAAATGAATAGTAAAAAGACACATTTAAAAAAAAAAAATCACTTAAATTAAAGGTCACAGTGACCTTGAAATAGGTCGCGACACACCTTCTACCTAAGATGCATAAACTGGCCAAGTTTGATGATTGTAGGTCTTATGGTTTTCTAGTTATGGGCCGGAAAGGATTTTTCCATATTTGGCTATAACTTCTTAATTAAAGGTCAGAGCGACCTACTTTTTGTGCGCGACACACCTTCTACCCAAGATGCATCAGATGATAAAGTTTGATAATCCTAGGCCTAGTAGTATTAAAGTTATGAGCCGGAAACGAAAAAGCTAACAGACAGACGGACAGACGGACAGCTAGACAGACGGATGGACACGAAGCCTATAACATAATACGTCCCGTCTTAAGACGGGCGTATAAAAATACTAGCAAGAAATAAGTTACCCCATTCCCAGAGAGAACAAAACTGGTTCCTTCATTGCCACTAAGGCCTGGAATGCCTTGTTGAGATTGTGGTAGTTGAATTCTGTTGTCGCATCACCAAGGATGACACAGTTAGGATCTGATGTATCGACTCCGTCAAAATCAGGGGCCACCTCTAGAAAACAGATATAAAGTAGAAGCTAATCACAAGGAACCTACACTCTCTTGAACAAAAATATATCCCTTAGAAAAATGTATTACTAGTAAGTGGTTTAATAGGCAACTTTTAAAAATACTCTCTTGAGTAAATACTTCTATTGGAAAAAATATATCTTGCCTCAGGAAAAATGATGTATTTAAATTATCATTTTAAATTTACTTTTATTGATTTTTTTTTAAAATGTGGAATAATTTTCTGTATTTGATTTTTTTTTTAGCAAGTCATACCTCTAAGGTAGCATTCAGATTTCTAATACCCAAAGTACATACACACAAGTTAAAATAACCTGTCAATTACAGATTTTATACAAACTGAAGTCATACTTGGATTGATGAGAAGGTGTGGCCTGAGGTTCCGTTTCTGTAGGACTTTACAGATGGCAGGGATTGGGGGGAATATTTCCTGCTCTGACATGGAGAATCCCAGCACATGTAACTTCTCTGTCAGCATTCCTCGCGTCATGGTCGTCTCATTGGTACAAAACCTCACCGCTAAACCAGCAGTCTTTAGTCTGTATAAAAAAATTTAGATACAAGTCTTATATCAGGTTAAACTAATAAACAAGTACAAGCAGATAGGATGAATATGATTATTTACTGATGGTTCTTAAATTGTTTATTAATTCAAATTAAATGATTCATATGATTCTTGAAGAAGAAAAAAAACTATTCATTTTTCTATTCATGTCAAATCTCAGTCAAATTTCAAGCTGTCGACAGCAAGGATCGAGTTTCTTCCTGACTCTCTCTCTTCTTTTCTCCCCATAGTCAATTCCTTATTTTCCTCAACCCCTATTTTCCCCCAATGCCTCCCTTATTTGAAGGGAATGAAATGTATCTATTGAAGGTATCACAACACGTGTATCTATCGTACACGTGTTTACCTAGTGTTGTTTAAAATAGATAATCGATCGGATTGGTTAATGTATTTTTAGAATACCTGTCCTACAGGTATTCTATTAAAGCATGCACGCTTTACCGTGAGTTCAAGTTTAACGCCATTCGAAGGATCTCTCTCAAACAGTGCAGTCAGACATTCACCCGCCCACACGAATATTTTGGTTTTTTATTAATTGTACGTTTTTGTTTTGTAGATTTAAGAGTTGCAGAGGAATAAAGTTGTTTTTGTAATATTATGTATAATTAAACTGCACTTACGAGAGCGCTTCTGTATCTATATACGTGTTGTTATTTATTTTATAAATTATTTATGTTCGTTTGAGTGGAAACGAAGAAGAACATAATGAATAATAATTGTTTTAATGTTACAGGACTATTTACCTCTGTACCGCCTCCACTGATCCGTCAATAGGGACACCAGCACCACTCTCAAATAAAACACCACTGATGTCCAACAGCACTCCCTTCACTTTCCTTTTTGTCCATGAAGCCATAGTATAGGATGCTGCTTCTTAGGGGACTATGCAGAAAACAACCTCATGAACCTGCACAAACTTATATACCACTGTTTACGATTTTTTCCAAATACTGTAAATAAATGATATAGTTTATAAAATAAGTAATTATTTTGCGCATTTAATGCATTTCCATACGTATTGTACATATGTAATGATACACTGCATGACAAAATACAGAACAGAGCGGAGGCTATAAAACTCATACCTGTTTTCAGCTCTTGCCTCCTTTCAATTAACCCGTTTCTCGGACCGGATTTGGTTTAGAAATTACACGTTTCTTGCATCTTAATCTTTGAAACTCTTCTAAAGAGCTGAAATACACATTAGTTAAGAAAAATCTAAATTCACACTGATCTTTAAGAAAAACATGGCAAACCTCGCAAATTTTGTAAGTAATTATTTTTATTGTCTACTGTAGTCTTAATCTCAAGGGTAATGGGCGCATTGTCGATAAAACTCATGTTGAGACCTCTTCACTTCTTATCTTCATTGGATAAAGATAGAAAAATTCAAGAGATTTAGAGAAATAAAATCAATGGAAGATCCCCCCCCAAAAAAAAAAACATTAAAAAAAATAAAAAACAACAGCACATCTCTGGCAGAGGCACATCATCAGTCCCATACCGAGTACACAGTGTCATAGTAAATAAATCACAGGAGCTAGTTATAACTTATTTATCTATTTGACCACCCCTACTACAGTGGACCTTCAGATATCCGGACGCCAGATATCCGGATGCTTCAGTTTCCGGACGATTTTTCATCGGAACAGAATTTTCAAAAGTTATTTTGTCTTATTTAACTGGTAATTCAGATATCCGGACACTTTACATATCCGGACAAATTGACTAGGAACCAAACTGTCCGGATAAATGAGGCTCCACTGTACATGTGTTTACCTATTAAATGACAGAGAAAAGAATTGTTCCATTCTAATAAAAATTGGATTTGAAAAAAAAGACCACCATTTGGTACGTAAAAACGATGTCGCTATGGAAGATTGACCACCAAACTAGGGTAATGACCATTTGATGGTGTGTGCCCAACATGTTACAGTTAGAATTACCAACTTTGAAAAACAGGTTGGGCACACACTGCCAAATGGTCATTTAACCCCCATTTGGTGGTCAATCGCCCATATCGGCGTCTTTATTACCTACCAAATGGAAGAGAAAAATCATTATGTTCAGTTCTATGGAATGACGTGAAATGGCGCATAATTTCAACTCACAGGGAATAAAATAGAGATATTTATCTAAACTCTGAATGAAAAAAATCAGAATTTCAACGCGGACTTTTTTGCACTGTGTCATTCAAATATTTGACAAAATCGTCACCTATGTAAACAAGTGTAACATTTCTCTGTTTTAACTTAAAAAGAAAAATTCCCTCCATCTCGCGCGTAGTTGTGCCTATCAGTCGTGTTTATCACTTCATATTTCTGTCATCCAGGCAGTCGATCAATTACCTAAACCAATTAAAAATGACGATCTTTTCCAAACTTGGGTCAAAAGACTGAATTAACTACGGAGGCCCATAAGTATTAATTTTCAAAAAGTAAAATAAGAGGAAGGGTAAGAATTAGCTTTTATTTCATTTATTTCGTATGCAATGGCTTTATTCTTTATAAAAATGCAATATGCAGTGAATTCATGATAAAATAAATGCTCGAAAACCATAATCTTGGAATAAAAACAGGAATAATTGCAAATGTCACTTTGTAAATCTTTTATTCAAAAATATTTAATAAATATAGGTACAACATAGATATGCATACTAAACCACAAAGGGTCACACAGAAATCGTAACGTCATCCTAAAAGAAAATAAAGAATAAATGTTACATTCAAATAGTAGAAATGAATATTATAGCAATAAGTGCCCACCATACGAATAAGATACGAGGAGCTCGTGTTTAACGGGATTTTATAAAGATTTATTTAGAAACAGATCGAAAGATCGTTTGAAAAGTTACTTCTCTAGACTAACACCTCTTGTTTAAATATATTTTTTACCGAACTATACACAACAAAATAATTTTTCGTATTGTTTGAGTTAATAGTTCAGCCGTCACGAACAGCTGTTGGTTTCGTTTTTACAAAGTTCCACAGAAATTCTACATGGAAAATTGACTAAATTTTATTAAATGTGTGATGAATATGTTAATTAAAATTCCCCAATGCCTAAGTAAATGTGCTTTTGCTTTATTTTACCGTAATAAAAATTGAATTTTAATAAAAAAGACCACCATTTGGTAGGTAAAAAAGACGCTGATATGGGCGATTGACCACCAAACGGGGGTTTAATGACCATTTGGCGGTGTGTGGCCAACCTGAAAAATATAACGTGACTGATACGTATAAGCTTCCACAAAATGATAATTGAGTCATGATGGGTTCCTGTGGTCTCTGAGGTATTTGATCACTATGGTCTAAACTGTGATATCAAGTAATGTAAGTTGTGTGTCCATAACAGAGTCTAATAGGTTAAAGTCACTCAAGTGCATATTTCAATGAAAGGCATTCTAAAGAAGATGCAACCACTAAGTATGCTAAGACACCAAAATTGATGGTCTAACTAGAGCATTCATATTTTGTAATGAAATTAAGGTCAAAGGCAACATAGTTTGAACTTTATTGGGCTCTTCCCTGAAGTTGAAGAGTTACACTAAATAAAGGACCTCACTCACCGTGTGCAATACTTTTATCAATAATGCCTATATATGAATTTGTATTATGTTCTTATTCGTTTCCACTCAAACGAACATAGATAATTTATGAAATAAATAACAACACGTATATAGATACAGAAGCGCTCTTGTAAGTGCAGTTTAATTATGAATATATTACAAAAACAACTTTACTCCTCTGCAACTCTTAAATCTACAAAACAAAAACGTATAATTAATAAAAAACCAAAATATTTGTGAGGGCGGGTGGGCGGGTGAATGTCTGACTGCACTGTTTGAGAGCCTTCGAATGGCGTTAAACTTGAACTCAAGGTAAAGCGTGCGTGCTTTAATAGAATACCTGTAGGACAGGTATTCTAAAAATACATTAACCAATCCGATCAAGTATCTATTTTAAACAACACTAAACACGTGTTGTGATACCTTCAATAAATACATTTATGTTTTTATTCGTTTCCACTCAAACGAACATAAATAATTTATAAAATAAATAACAACACGTATATAGATACAGAAGCGCTCTCGTAAGTGCAGTTTCGACAATAAAGAAAGAGAAGAGAAATATTATAAACCCAACTTTTTTGTAACAGAAAGTTTTGATTGTAAGTTTTCGTGTACATAACCGTCCTTAGCATTATCCGATTTCCACCTCCCATGTTTCTTAAAAAGACGATCACTGACCTCTGCTGCAGCTGCGGCAGTAGCACCACCCGACCTCAAACTGTGTACTCCGTATCTTTTAGAATCTAGACCTAAACTGTCTAATGTATATGAAACTAACTCCCTAACTCTTGTGTATGACAAAGGCTGATTACTTTTCCTTAACTTGTAGGAGTTATTTGTTTTACAATAAGTAACTTGTCTAAAAATAAACTCCTCTGACGCCTCTGATATACCTGATAAAAGAAGATACCTGAGTAACATATTAACTGAACAGGTATTACAGTTTGTGCGTGATATACACAGAGAAGTACCTTGCTTATACACATCTGTTTTACTCTTTGCAATGAACAAATTTAGGTGAGATTCATGAAAAGTAAGATGTGACCTTCTAATATTAACAATTTCAGAAAAAGGTAAAAAACCCGCATATCCTAAAAGAAAAGTACAACAAGTGCGCAGTTCATATAATGATGCATCATTTCTCCCAAATTTTTCAACAACAGCAGACAAAATATCTGCAGAAACTGGTTCTTTCTTTTTTACAGGTTGACTGTGTTCTCTTATACAACCTTCTTTTACAAACCTTAACTAAGTCAGAGTCACAAGGATTGGGTAATCCCGACAATTGATGGGCCCATGTAATAGCATAAGTAGCCTCCTCTATCTTTGAAGAGGACTTAAAAGTTTTTGCAAGATATGTTAAATATATTGCTACATGAACATCAGTACCTGGTAAAGAATTAATATTCGGTGTAAATGTCTTGCACCACTTGGAAAAATTGTTGAAGGCATACCTATATTTCTTTGTTGTATTTTCAGCTTTTGATTTTAGGCAGTAGTTGGGTAAGGACTCGGCGAGTTCCAAGAGTGATGGGTCCTGAGCACTGTTGGACAAAGATGTCCCCCTACCGACCTTAAATATTTCTGCAAAACGTACAAAATAGATAACAAATTAAAATATTTTGTCAATACAATCAAATCAATATTACGCGTACCAGGGCCAAATCTCTGCAATACACGACTTGTATGACTTCTGTTTGTCTATAAAGAACTCAGAAAAACGTTATTTCAACATCTGCAGTACAATATAGTACCAGGACCTCAATTTTTAAATTTTCATACAACTTTAGTCCATCATCTGCAGTACAATATGTACCAGGGCCTATTTTTTTTTTTTTTTTTTAACATCTGCAATACCTCTGTACCAGGTTCACTAATGCCTATATGTGCACCAGGGCCATCATCAACTGCAATGCACATATCACAATACACTTCTACCAATCAAACAGCATAATAACATGTATTTACAAATTATATACATTACAACATACTAGCATCCAGTCTAATTACTAATACTGGAGATAAAAACTTGTTCGAACCAAAAACTGTGTTTTTGTTCTGACCTTGTACATATATTCCAGACACATCTTTGAACTCTAATACATCTGCAACATATTCATAAGTATCAACTTTGTCTTTATATATGTAAGGCCAAAAGGAAGCTGATTTCCACTTAGGTACAAATAATGTCCCTACAGCTTTGCTACTGACAAGATACTTTATAGTTTTTATAACTAAGAAAATAGGCGGAACCAGCCAATTATTCTCTAAGGTCCAGTTTTGCGTAAAAGAATCGACAGCTTCTGTCCCTGGGTTCCAGAAAAGTGAATTAAATCTAGACAATTTATTGTTCTTTGCACTAGCGAATCTATCAATAGTATGTGGACCGTATAAAGAATCAATAAATTCAAAAAAATCATGAGACACACCCCAGTCTTCATAGTCGACAAGTTTACTTAAGTAATTGGCTTTTTGATTTTTGTCTCTAGGGATCCACTGGATATCGATAGAAATGCTATGCTTCCTGCAAAATGAAAATATGTTAAAAGCTATTTCTTGCAATTCTGTCTTCATACTACCTGACTGTAAAATATGGACACAGCTCTGGTTATCTGTAAACCATTTGATACATTTTTTAAACAACATTTCATCAAATGAAATCAAAGCTAATTCTATTGCCTTCATCTCTCTCCATGTTGAACTTTTATTCATTTCATGTTCGTTCCACACCTGGTGGAAAAACTGCTCATCTACGCCCACTGTATATGCCCCAGCGCCTACTGCGCTAGCATCTGAATACACCAATGTACTTTCTCTTTGTGTAATCTTAAGTTTTCTTTCATTATAATTTCGGATGTTTTGTAACCAAAATTTCAATTCTTTCATCGTGTTAATAGCAAACTTAAAATAAAGTATACCATCCCATGATGTTTTGAGAACAATTTCCATGTAGCAATATCTTGTCATTAACCTACAAACGTTACCCATAACTGAATGTAATGACGTTATTTTCCCCACAACTCTGGCCAATGCCCTAGCCGAAACCTTGGGTAAATCTGAAAGAAATTGAGCAATGTTAGTCTCGATGTCTTGAATTCTTCTTTCTGGAATAGAAATTTCAAATGCTACTGAATTCCATCTGATACCTAACCATTCCAAGTCTTGCACTGGGCTGAAAATCGATTTTTCAAAATTGATTAAAAATCCTGCCTCTTTTAAGGATGACTTCATAAAACTTGAAATTCTCTGACACTCTTCGAATGACTCCGACATGGCTATACGGTCATCTAAATAAAGAACAATCTTTATATTGTTAGTACTCCAATACTTCACCATAGCCCGTAAACATTTTGTTATAAATATATATGGGGCTGTAGACAAACCAAACGGAAGAACTGTAAAACAGTAATAATTATCTTTCCACTGAAAACCCAAAAATGTTTGGCATTCCTTACAAATATCTATATGGTGGTAACCTGATTTCAAGTCAAACTTAATACAGAAGCAATTTTTCTTGAAATATTGTAAAGCCACTTTATAATCTTCAAACTTTACTTTTTCTTTTTTCAAGTATGAATTTAAAACACTTAGATCTAAAATCAAACGCTTCTTTTCTCTGTTTTCTGCAATGCTCAATGGGCTCACTACAAATGGTCTGAATGGTACCTGTATAATGCAACCTGTTTGAATCAGATCTTCTATGCTTTCTGAAACAAAGGAAAAATTCTGAAGAGCAGATTTGTTATTCTTCAAATGAATTCTAGGTGGATTAGCTGCAAAAGGAATATTATATCCAGTTTTTATAATTCTCAAAATATCATCAAATGCACCCATCTTTTCCCAGAAATCATAATGATTGTGCAAACTATTTTTCACTCCTTTATAAGACTCATTTGAATCTTGTATTGATAAAAACTTGCAATGTTCAATCATTATCTCATTATCAGTTAACTGATCAAACATATCTACAGATAGTATATACTTATCATCAATTTGACTTAATATTGGAGCCTGCGCTGCTGGTGTATTGACTGTTGAGGGGACATCCTGTTTTCCAATGCCCAGTCTGGAAACACTTGTAGCAGACGTCGCTGGGCTGTGGTGTCCGTCTGCTACTGAAGCGAAAGGGCTGCTGAATAAATTTGCTTGTTGTACTGTGTTTGCCTGTTGCAATGCGAGTGCGGAAAGCTGAGCAGCAGAACCAGCAGCAGCAGAAGGGACAGGGTTGCCATAAGGTTGGAAACGAGGCTTTTTAATCTGTCTGTTGTTTCTGAGGGCTATGTTCTCCGCGCTCCTAATCTTTTTCTCGTCATCCGAGTCGTCGGCAATATCATTACATTGGTACTCTTGTACTGTCTTCCACCCAGCTGGGGAACCATCTGCAATTCTGATATACTTTTGCCTGGTTTTAAGTTTTTCATTGATTTGTTTAACAACTTTGTCATTATGAGTGGATAAATCTTTGAGTTTATCAAGTTCCTCTAACAATTCTTCATTAAACAAATACTGAACCTTGTTTCCTTCATATTTTAACTTCCCAGCTATGCTGTTCTTGAGCTTCTTAGAAAGTTCCTGAGCTGAAGATTTACTGTCTTCCTGCAGCTTTTCAGATAATTGTTGAAATTGGGTGGATATAGCTGTAGACAATAATTTGACTGCGTCTGTCATAGCGAATGAAGTAGACGTGGACTGTGCGTTATCTGGTAGCTTAGGAATCTCTCTCGTTGTCTCATCAGTCATGAGAATATCTTCCTCATTATCCATGGAGAAAAACTTATCTTGAATGTCTAACTGCACTGATTGAGAGAGAGCCTTCGAATGGCGTTAAACTTCAACTCGCGGTAAAGCGTGCGTGCTTTAATAGAATACCTGTAGGACAGGTATTCTAAAAATACATTAACCAATCTGATCGAGTATCTATTTAAAACAACACTAGGTAAACACGTGTATGATAGATACACGTGTTGTGATACCTTCAATAAATACATCACCTCTTCTAAAACATTTTTGATGGAAAAAATCTGCAATATGTGTTTCATAATTTTTGTATATATTTCTTTGAATAATGCAAAAATTTTCATAATTTGATATCTTCCAAAATCCCTGGGTTATGCATGCTGATTTTTTGTCTATGATTATCTGATGGCACTATAATCTTGAATTAAGAATATCTTGAAAATTTATTAGTAGGTAAGGTACCTTGCCTGTGTCCTTAAATATCAACTGGCAATGACAATTTGCCGCATTATGTACAGTATGTAACAAAGTGTCCTCTGCTCTACCCTGGCTCAGGTTTGCTTTGACTACAGCTATGTAAATGTACAATATATTAAAATCTGATCAATCTTATAATCCTGTTTGTTTTATTTGATTACAGACTGCTGGTGAGCTGGCCAATGTTGGATCACAGTTAACCAACGATGCATCAAAGTACATCAACAATGTAAGACAAAATTCTCTGCTCTGTGTTTCTTATGTCTTAAGGTTATTTCCTATTGTTAGGTACTGATCTGTAAGCTCATGTGAGCATTTCTGATCACCCATTGTCTAGTGTCCATCTGTCTAAAATCAGGATTCAAAATTTACATAATGCATAAGCAGCATTAAACAGGGGGTGAAAAATACTACTATACAGTAGAACAACAAAAGTATGTTTGTTCATGACATTGATATTGAAAGCACCTGTCTGTGTGGATTCAGGCTTGGCTAAGTAATGGTCCCTTTTAGCTAGGATGGGTCTAAATGTGGGGACAAAATTTTTATTGGGAAGAAAGGGGAAGCAATCTGAGAAAATCTTCTAAAGAACAAAGTTACTCAGGTGAGTGTTGTTACCATAGGCCTCTTTTTGCGTATCATAAGATCTTGGTAAATTCTTATAGAACAGATGATGTTTATAAATGAAGTCATGTTGATAAAGGCAATGTTAATAGTTGCCATTAATAGAGCATTGATCAGAGTAATGGAGTATTTAGGACTTGACCCTTTCTTCATGGGATCCTTTCTAAAAAACGGGGTCTCTATGTACAGTAGATGCTGGCATGGAAAAGCTCCCTCACTGCTGAAAGGCCCTGATTGCTGAGTATAGGTCTCCATTTCCAGCCCTTCACTTCAGTTTTTGAAAGGAATTTTAAACAAACAAACAAACAAGCAACAATGTTCATATCCTACCAAACTGAGTAAGTACAGTTTGTTATCTATTTTAAAATAAAAAGCCAACATGTAATTTATTGATTTTCTTGATTTTTCTTCTTACAGCCAGACCTGGAGTTGAAATGGGCTATGAAGTCATACCACCATGCTGAAACATATTTCAATGTAAGTAAATCGAAGATTTCTACAAGGCCTTGGTTTGGAGCTCTGTGGTTTGACTGTCTAAATTTTCTCAATTAGAGAGCTATACATGTAGTTCTGTGGATATTTAGAAATTACCTTGTCTTCGTATAAATTTTATTTCTGTATCTATATTTTTAAAATAAAAAACAACACACAAAAAATATGAACCATTTTTTCACACAACTGTACGGACTGATAAAAAAAAACTAATTGTTCTCAAATCAGTATTGGTCTTGTGATTCAAAATTCTACTGTAAATGAGCAGAGACAAATTATGGCCATCCTTATAAAAATGTTTGATTGCCCTCTCCTGATCTACTGACTAAAAATGGCCTGACTCAAAACTTTTTTTTTTACATTCCAGGACACTATAGTCTATATAATTTTTCTTTGTATTCCTCTTATCCCATCAACAAATATGTTGAATTTTTCTGGAAAATTTTTTTCCCACCTACATTGTACCTACCGCGACCCAATAATTTTGCACTGAATTGGGAGAGGGCAAGCAAACATTATTTTAAAGATGGCCTTACTAAATTTGCTCAGCTTTTGAGAACCAGCATTCATTTTAAATAAATACAGTACCTACTAAAAGAATATTTATTTAATTCAAATGAAAAAAGTTCTGTAATAAAATAATTTTTGTTGGTAACTTATAAAGGAGCTATTGTATTAGTATTCTATCCTCTGTCCACCATTACAGCTAATAAGCTCTGTGGATCCAACAGTTCTGAAGTTAACACAGATAGATGATGAGATTTATACAGAGTTTAGAAAAGAGTTTCCCGATTTTAAAATTGATGTCATACGAGAGGAAGACCTCAAGAGTCCAGAGGCAAAAGAGGCAAGTACCAGTCTTTGAATCTCGCTGTAAAATTAGCTAGACATGCAGGGCTGATTGCTAGTTAAAGTTGTCCGCCCTGTACTGGCCTGAAAAAAATAAATTTGATTAGTTCATTTTAGCAATTATGTGAAGGGGATCAGCTCACTATTTCCTATAGGCTGCAAGATGAATTTTACCTGTTTGCTTGTTACACTTTGCAACCAGTAATATTAGATGATTTGAGAACATTTTATCAATTTTGATTTATGGAAAATTTTTTACAAGTCCAGCCATTAAGCGTCAATATGTACAAATCTGTTCGTCCGTGACAAAATTTGTGGGTCAAGGGCAGTCGGTTATTTCAAACACTAAGTACTTGGCAGTGTTAAAATGTTCAGGCTTATCTTTTTAACAAAATAAAAAAATAAGCTTGTACTTCATAATGAAAATTGTTTGTCCCAGCTCTAGTTTTAAGTTCATCTACACAAAGTTGTGATGAGCTCTATACCATCTTTATCTCATTTAAAGTTATTGGAGCATATTATCATAATACAGAAGCATTTAAATTAAAGATTATTCAAATCATGTCCCCCTGAGGTGGGGAGGGGGGGGGGTAAGGTGGATGCCACAATAAATCAACATTCAGTTGAAGATCTTTTAAGGCCATAAATAGTCTTAAGAAATTTGAATGTATTCTAGTTCATTCAAACTCCCCTTCCAAAATCTCCGTTCTGGTGTAGGGCTGGGATGATATACTGAGAAAATAAATATGAATATGGATTCTGTGTGAGGATGATACACATATTTGATATGTATGAAGAAATATCGTAATATTTAAAAAAAAAAATCTGATATGTTTTTTTTATATTTTACAACACATTTTGGATTTAATGAATTATATAATATAGATATGCTATAATATGATAATTTAAAAAATGGAATGAATGAAATATATGGAGAGTAAACAGTATTTAAGCTCAAAAGTCCATAAAACAATACAAAATAGCAGCAGACAAAACATGGACCTCAAAAACATCAGAGGCAGCCAGGCAGGATCAGATGCCATGGAGGAGTAAGCATCCCCTGCCAACCCTCTCTGTGTTCCTTGCCATGATCAGGAAATAAAGGAAAAATCTATCGTCAATACGTAATATCGCGAGTACCTTGAAGTTATCTAACTTACTACCGCTCTTTTGTGGGGGAGTCGAGAAAGCTCTAGATTTTGGGGACACATGACATTGTTTACAGTAGTAACAATCAAATGATTCGAACAATTTAATGCTGAAAGTACAATGTATTGCCAACAACTGGAGTCCAAATAGTAGATTGTCAAATGAGGAAAGTTTATAATATTTTAACAGCTCTAAAATGTGACGATTTTCAATGAAAATCTAATGAGAAGAGACCGCTTCGTTAAAAATATCTGTAAAAACGTAACATTTTTAGGAATAGCTCATCTCGAAAATTTATTAGGCTGACTCAGCAATATTTAAGGAAGGTATTCCACCAGGATTCTTTACTTATCTGTCCTTATAAACTCTACAATGACCGATCTTGCATTGTATTCAATAGCACATTTGTTCCCATTCAAGACGTTTCCTACCTCCATCGCGAAAGAGTTCTGCAAAGTTGAATAATCGCGATATCAAGTATTCAGTGTGTAAAAAATGGACTACCAATTAGGCCTAAAATAAAAATTTATTTGTTTGCAGTTGCCTACTGACCCACTGAAAATGCAACCGACCCAAACTTTTTTTAGCCATTTTGTAATATATATATTTTTTTAATTTTCAGGATATTGCAACTGTTTTATTTGGAATTTTTGACTTTTGTTTTTATCAATCAGTGGTTTATAACAAGAGTGGAACATAATCATGTTTAGGTGGCCTATGAAAAGATCTACTATTTGTTATCCAACACAAAATATGAAAACAGTTTAAAACAAGATGTACTTGTGGAACACTATGCGCACAGCGGCAACAAAATTCGGAAAGGCTACTTTTAGCATATAGGTGACAGCCAAGGTCACAGGGTCATTGAACTTGGTGTCATTTGAAAGAACTTGATAAGTGGAGTATGCTCACCAGATATGAAGTCTCTATCTCTTATGGTTCAGAAGTTATTGTGAATGTACGAAAAATCTATTGTGAACACACAGGTTACAGTCAAGGTTACAAGGTCAATGACCTTGGTGTCATTTTAAAGAACTTGATATGTGGCGTATGCATAACAAATATGAAGTCTCTATCTCTCATGGTATAATAATTATGGTGAAGGTTCAAAAATGCATTTTTAGCATATATGCAACAGTCAAGGTCACGAGGTCATTGACCTTAGTGTCATTTAAAAGACCATTATTAGCGGAGTTTGCATACCAAATATGAAGTCTATCTTTCGTGGTTCAAAAGGTATGGCGAAGGTTAAAGTTTATAGACAAAAAAGCTATTTTTAGCATAAAGGTCATGCTCAAGGTCACAAGGGCATTCACCTTGGTGTCATTTGAGAGAGCTACATTAGTGGAGTTTGCCCACCACATATGAAGTCTCTCTCATTTATGGTTAAAAAATAATGGCGAAGGTTAAGGTTTGTAGACAAAAAGTATTTTTAGCACATAGGACAGAGTCAAGGTCATAAAGTTACTGAACTTAGTGTCATTTGAAAGAGCTTAATTAGTGGGGTATGCATACCAAATATGAAATGTCTTTCTTTCATGCTTCTAAAGTTATGGTGAAGGTTAAGGTTTGCAGACAAACAAACTGACAGACAGACAGACAGAACAAAAACAATATACGCCCCGATCTTTCGATCCAGGCGCATAAAAAGAAAGAATGCCTGCCTACCTACCCAGTCTAAATATTATAGGTCGGCAACTGCAAACAAAGAATTTTTTAAGCTTGGCCTTAACATAATTAATATGAAAATTGTCAGTCAGCATTTTGACTCCACAATGAATTGTATTTGCTACAATGTCATTGTTTTGACCATAGAATTACGAAATGATGAATTGAAGGTTTGTTGCAACCCTGAACTTGGTCACTTTTGCCTCTTCTTATTATTCTTTTACTTTACATGGTCATCTCTTATCCATTACTAAACTAAGGACTGTGTGTAGTCTAAAGTCTTTTCAAATCTTGAAACTCCACCCCTCCGTCGGGGTAGAGTGGGGTCAAAGTATGCAAGTATGTAAGTTTTAATAAGAGGCCCATGGGCCACATCGCTCACCTGAGCACATTGGCTAGTCAAAAAACAAAAATCAGCTCAGTATTGAAAAGTTTACTTGTTGGGGGTGGGGTGTGTGTGTGAATTTATTGCTACTTGAGAATGTCACTATATCAATAAAGCATACATGTATAATTTTGCCATACTTGAGAAGAAGAGTTTTAAAGATTTTTCCTATATATTTCTATGTAAAGATTTGATTGTACATTATGGCCCAACCCTAGTCACAGGGGTTATAATATGAACAAACTTGAAAATTAACTCTATTAGTGAGAATGATACCATATTAATATCACCAATAATAGCTTTGCTGACCTTGAGAAAAAGATTTTTAAAGATTTTTCCTATATATTCCCATGTAAAACTTTGATCAGCCATTGTGGCCCCGCCCTACCCCCGGGGGTCATGATTTGAACAGACTTGAATCTACACTACCTAATGATACTTCCACATGAGTTTCAACTTTCCTGGTCCAATGGTTCTGGAGAAGATTTGTTAAAAAAAAAATTTCCTATATATTCCTGTGTTAAAATTTGATCAGCCATTGTGGCCCTGACCTACCCCCAGGGGTCATGATTTGAACAAACCTACACTACCTAAGGATACTTCCACATGAGTTTCATCTTTCCTGGTCCAATGGTTCTGGAGAAGAAGATTTAAAAAAAAAATTTCCTATATATTACTACGTAAAACTGATCAGCCATTGTGGCCCCGCCCTACCCAGGGGGTCATGATTTGAACAAACTTGAATCTACACGTACTACCTGAGGGTGTTTCCACATGAGTTTCCTGGTCTGATGGTTCTGGAGAATAAGGAGATTTTTAAAAAAAAATTCCTATATATTCCTATGTAAAATTTTGATCAACCATTGTGGCCCTGCCCTACCCCTGGGGGTCTTGATTTGAATAAACTTGAATTTACGCTACCTGAGGATGCTTCCACATGAGTTCCATTTTTCCTGGCCCAATGGTTCTAGAGAAGAAGATTTTTAAAAGATGCCATCAATTTTTCATTAATTCATAATTATTTCCCCTTGGAAGAGGGCTTGGCCCTTCATTTTAATAATCTTGAATCCCCTACACCCAATGATACTTTGTGGCAAGTTTGGTTGAAATTGGCCAAGTGGTTCTTGAGAAGAAGATGAAAATGTGAAAAATTTATGACGACAACAACGTCAGACAATGGACAAATTTTGGTCAGAAAAGCTCACTTGAGCCTTAGGAGAAAACCTGCTGATGAAGTACAGAAGTATTCTGGGTGAGCAATTGTAATCCATGGGCCTCTTATTTCTGAATGATAATATTTGTAAGATACATACAAATATTTGATAGGGGGAAAATCCTTTTGTTGATGAAGAACAGCAGAATTATATTGACTCTTGTAAGTGTTGTGGCCCATGGACCTCTTTTTTTTTTTTTTTTTTTTTTTAATTTTTATTGTTGTCTCTAAGGGTCTTACTTGTAAGCTAGTACACAGTTTAGTGGCATTATTTGCCAAAATTTGTCAAAAAAACCCTTTAACCCCTGAAACATTAGATATATTTTTTAAATTTATTTTAGTGACACACAAGTACACCTAGTTTAAAGCTACCTCTTTATATAATGATTTGTTTAGATACACCTGTTTGTTCACTATGCATATCATGTAATATGATATCTCAGTTTAAAGTCCAAATCACTTCACAGTGCATAGCTACCTTAACCTCAAATCTAGGTCAAAGGTAGGCAACATTCAACAAACATGGCGGCCAGAAATCCCAAATATCCACTTGGCTCTCCTCAAGAGCATATTGAAATGTGTA